GTGGATGAGTCATCAATACCTTCAGAGTATAATGGAGGATGTAGCTTGCTCTCATCTGGAGGAGAGGGTTTTTTGCTAAGTGTGGAACACTGAGAGACATTGAAATCGAGAGGTTTCATGGACTACAGACTAGTCAGTGAAAGCTAGCTATTTTTTCTATACATAAAGTGCAGCAAACCTACAAATGTACATTTGAAACAGAGGGAGACCCTTCCCATATTCCACGGGAAATTGTTCCAGGTTACCCCAGTCACTACAGTTAGCAGTAAGAAAATGAAAGAGAACAAATTCTGGGAAGAGTGCTTGGGAAGTGAAGCCTTATTCACTTCAGCTAAGACTGGAAACTGGAAGAACCACTGTGAAAATCAGTGTGGGGCTTTCTCAGAAAAGTAAAGAGAGAATGCAATATAATCCACCCATACCATTGCTGTACACTAACTCAACATACTTCAGACACCCTTGCTCAGCCACGTTCATTGCTACCTTGTTTACAATGACTAACGAATGGAACCACCATCCATTTACAGACTCAAGGATGAAGAAACCATGCATACACACAATAAAATGTTATGTACTCGCAAGAAAAAATAAGAACATGTCATTCCAGGTGAGATGGATGACTTGGAAATCATCACGTTAAAGAAAATTACCAAACTCAGACACAAATGTCTCGTTTTAGTTCATATGCATGTTCTAGTTTCAGGCCATTATATGATTGTGTATTTTTGGGTGTGCATTCACATGTATATATGGATAGAGAATCTTGAAAGCACAAAAGGGAAGAAGAGATCTTTAGGGATGGAGGAGGGAGCGACAAGGGGAACAGAGTATGTGTGTTGTGGAAGTAGAGACCGCAATTTGCAGAGGATAAAGAGGAACAGAAATTAGGGGTGGAGTATGGGGGAGGACAGTGGGAGAGGGTGATGAATAGAATAAATTAAAGTGACTTTGAGGGATAAAATACCCTAAGGAAACATTATTTCATAGGGTAACTTAAAATTTTAATATAAAAAAGAGTTTTGCTTTCACTCTAAGTCAAATGGGATGTCACTGGGTGGGGGGAGTGCTTCCCAGACGAGGAACATAAACATTAAAGTCTTACAGGAGCTACTGTGCTGATAACAGGAGAGTGCATGGGGTACAGGAGGGTAATCAGGGCAGGCCTTGGAATCTTTCAATACAATGATGGCTTGCTGTCAGTCTAAAGACTCTAAGCACCTTAATTAAGGCAACATCCCTAGTGACTGATGGGACTATCAAATGACAGAGCCAGGGATGGATCAATGTTGTACATAATCTCAGAAGCGATCCCATGAATAAAGCCAGGGTGCCAATGATTAAGCAAATTATGAAAAAGCATACTTATTTCATTGCCATTTAGTCAGTCATCAGTCACCAAACTGGGAATTCTCTGTTTTTAATGGAAATGGAAAGCTATTGCTTAGGGGTCTGACAGTCTAGAAAATGTTCATGGTTATTAAATACAGGCACTGAGATTCAAGGAGGAGTTAAAAATGACTCCATGATTTGGGATCTGGAGAACATTCATTCATTCATTACATTGGGGAAAATGGGTCTTATGAGGGAGTCAAGAAATAGGTTTAGGCACATGGAAACAAGGGTGACTTTGACATCCCCAGCAGAGATGGCAAGATGGCTATTAACATGGGGCATTAGAGTTGGTGAGTGAGTTCTTGACCAATTGGTTCTTAAACATGTTGATTGGCATTGGACGGTACATATTTTCAATATTACTTTTGCTAAGATCTATTAACTTGTGTGCAGCATCCCATCTTTTCCATTTAATGCACAGTATACATGTGCAGGCTTGTTTTTACTAGAAATACACTTTGATCATATAATTACTATGTTCCAGGCTCTATGACAGAAAGTCAAAAGTACCTACTTTAAAATTGAAAATATTATGTATTTTCTGTTATCAGACTTACATGCATGAGCCCTCTGCTAGTCAAAAATGGATTTCTTCTCTGTGCCTGGCTCTGGCCATCCCCACAGTGTTTATTAAATTGTTCTTTTATTGCATTACTGCTCAACTTTCACCCTCTCTCCAATCCTGGACATTAAGTCCTTCCATGACTATTAATGGTGGAGAAGGGGCCACCACTGTTGTGAGCTGTTACTTGCTTTAATAACATTAGCCCTTACTCACTGGCTTCCACTTACTCACCAGCTTACATATGTGCATCACACACTGGTGTGCATAAGAATATGTATGTATGCTCGTAAATATCTGTAGACATGTACACACATGTACTATATATGTAAATATTATTGTAAGCAGGGATTTTTGCTTATTTTTTTTAGAACTCAATAATTTTCAAGGGCACAGTAAGTAACACACAAATTATGGATGGTCCTTTTTATTTTCTCATGTAATCTGCTTGATTGGCACACTTTAAGCATCACATTGTGATCATTATCCAAGCTTTTATTTTTACTATTATAGATAGCCACTATCCCATTGCATAATGCTGAAGTTGAGTCTTGTCTGGTCACAAGCCATGCGGGATAGAGTCGAGAAATGAAGCCAGACAACTCAGCACCACAACTGGAACCTTTGTCTGTTCCAGCTCCTCCCTCTCCTACAGAGACAGCACAGGCTTCTCAGCAACCACACACATGGGTCTAGATAGCAGAGGTGTTAAAAGAATTCTGTCCCCTTTGCCTGTCAAAGCCTCCAGGCATCAGTGGACCTGCATGTTTTTTTTTTTTTCTCAGACCAAGAGAATTACTGTCAATGCCAACGATAGCAGCAGATTAATGACTGGTAATTCCTTAGGTTAGTTTTCTCCTACGTAAGATATTATTGTAGCAATTTCACAATAGAGGAATCTTTAAAATTGCTTTGGAAACAGGGAAGCGATACTTCAGTTTCTCTGAAAGTCACCTTAAAGAGTGAAACTTCTGAAAGAAAAGGTTGACTGGAAGCCACACCTAGGAGTAGGTGGAGCCAAGGTCTGGAGGCCAGAGGAGCAAAACCCTCTCTTCTCATTCCTGGAGCAGGTCTACTGAAATTCCTGTTTTTCTCTGCAAAAGTTGTTTCTTCACATGTATTCTGACAGAGAACTCGCAGAAATTCAGTTTTCTATCGGTCCGTACAGCAGAGGAGACAGAGGAGCTGGGATGAGTATTGCAGAACTGTTGGATTCAACATGATAAGCACCATCACACCTCACACAAGGACCATGCATCTGCATCAGGGTGCCATGGCAGCGGAGACCCCAGGCACAGAGATGCCAAGGATAGCATTTGAAAAAAGTGTTTGTGGGTTAATGCCGCTGCATCTACTACACTAGTGCGACCTAACACAGAGAAGCATAAAGAACGTTGAACTATATGCACGTCACTCTGAGCACATGTATGGGTGGGTGGGGTGCAGGGGTCAGGGTGTATGTATGTGTGTTAGAATAAAATTACTTTTACATTAAAGATATTCTGTATTTTTGATGAGCATGTCTCAGTGTGGATAACATGTAAGTATTTAGGAAGCCTCTGTTTCTAGTCTCTAAACTGAGCAAGTGTGTTGTAATGTTTACCTCGGAGTTCTGCAGGAACACATTGAATCCCAGGTGCTTTTTTGGATATTGCTCTAAGACAGCACAACTCTCTTTCACTCATCTTCAAAACAGACTCCCCAAATAACAGGAGGTAAACAAATATGCTTACGAAAACTCACCAATTTGGAGCATAGTATAACGGATACTCACCAATTTACTCATTTCGTAGGATGTGGTGAATATTGCTAAGGCAGTATGGTTGCAGACATGAATATAGGAACAAAGAAATGCACAGGTGAAAAGCTTGGAGAAGTGCTCCCTCTGGTAGGGAAGAAGAAAAAGGATAAACTCAACAGGCAAGGGAGGCTTTGACTGGGTTCTGTGTTCACCAGTTGTATGGGGAGCGCTATGAAGAGGCAGGGAACGGTGAGAGAGATGGAAAGGAGGAATGGTCAGACCTTGGACACACATTGCGTTTCCACAGTTCTCTACTTCAGTCTAGCTGTATGTGGGTTTCTCCACGAAAGGCTCCAGTCAGGTGTCTGAACCTAAAGACATCTCCATTTTCCTTTCAGCAACTCATTCTTTCTTGTTTCTACTCCAGAAGATGGGTCCAAAGCCCATCTTCAGTCTCTCTATCCGCACAGCCCTTTCTACAACTCTTGTCTCGCACCATTAGCTGAAAGGTCTGTAACAAGACAGGAGTTCACCAAAATGTTAGAGAAAATGGATTTACTGGTTTAAAACAGTGCCTTGCTGAAATACTTGAACCTGGTCTATGGAAAGTTAATATTAACCCTGAAAGCAAGCTTCCTGCCAATCCAGAACACTCGATGTGTAAGCCACATGCGTTTTATTTTGTAACAGATCATTTTCTCCTGTTGATTCTGTAAAAGCAACACTCACAGATCCACGTGACTCACTATGCTCTACACAGCTCAGCTCACATTTAGAAGGCATTACCAGAAAACCATACCCATAGGAAGCAAGAAATCAAGCTGTCCAAAAGATCAACAGTGACCTAACTGCTCTGGAAAATCCAATAGATGTGTGGTAGTTAGGCCACTGAAGAAAAGCCAGGTTTGCCCCAGGCATTCTCAGGGTAGAAACTTCCTCCTTCAGTGGGAGAAACTGCCCAGAAAGGCAGAAGAAGCACAATTTACATACACGGCCAGATAATCTGCCACAAATCTTAGTCATAGCCTGATGACTTGAGACACCCTGGGAAATCCCTGTTGCATGAAAGCCAATAAAAGTTAAAATCACATTTCTCCTCCTGCATCCTTATTCTGTGTGATTAGCATAGAGACATTTCTGCTACTGAGAACATGTTATTTTCTATCATGAGTTAACAGAGACTTATGGTTTTCAAAGTCTGGGCGCTCTCATCCTAAAAGGCACCACAAGAGATTTTCTTTTTTTTTCTTTTTCTTTCTGCCCTACAAGACTCTGAGTAAGACAGCTTGCTCGTCTTCCCCAAGCATGGCTGGACTGAATGCAGCAGGATCTTACATGGAGCATGTGGAGGTAAGAACATGCATCATGCTTAGGTGGCCACCCAGAACGAAGAACACGATGGTGGATTGTGTGATGATTAAGACCCACTCTGTATTTTAACAAGTATTATTTGACATACAAAAGGTCACTGGCGATCATTGCTCTGCCTTTGAACTCACTGGGCCAGGCTGCTTCCATCGAACGACAGACTCACATCTGCACAGATTCCTCTCCCTCTGCGGTGTACTTTACATTTTCTTCTCATGAGGAAGAGTTTAATTTGGTGTAAAATTTAAGAAGAATATTGTAAACATGTGTCTAGAAATAGAACATTTAGCAGTAAATGACTTTAATTATTAAAATCTTCAGTTGATGCTATAATTTTATTTAGTTACTACAATAACATTCACTATTTCCATGACTTAATTATTGCACCTTCTTAATGTTTTATTGTATTTTTATTGGTTTATTTTGAATCTGTGCATACACGTCTGCCATGGAGTGACTGTGGAGCCCAGAGAACCACCTGCTAGGCTCAGTCCTCTCCTTCTCCTGTGTGGGACTGAGGGAACGAACCTAGTGATTTGTCTTAGCGGCCTGTGCTATCAGCCACTGAGCTAACTTACTGGATTTTCCTATGTTTCTTTTAAACAGATAACCAAAATATATTGAGAAACTAAATAGAATCCATCTATTCCTTTAGATATTTTATTTGTTATGTTACAACTTAAACATCTTAGCAGTTGACTCGGATATTTTGATAGGGGAAGAAACTCCTTGATATTTTCAACACAGACTGCATTTTGCAGAAAAATAATAATAAGGAATTGCTTAGAAGGAATAATTGTTTCAGTAGAAGGCCCTTCCTAGAACCTAATGACTAAATATCTTTGCATGTACTGTGATAACCCATGCCCTCGTTAGCAACCAAAATGAATAACAAATACACACAAGAACTTACTCCAAACATGAATTGACTCTGATTGGTTTTAACTTGTACGCAAGGCGTACAAGTTATGGTACAATCCCGATGAACCTCTCTACAAATGTCTGGTGATGCGTGTCATCCACAAATTCTTCCTAGTCTTCATGTTCGCTATCATCTACTTTCAATGACCCCTTTTAACACTGTTGTTTGAGAATCTTGTCAGCTAGTATTCTTATGGTTACAAGTAAGTTTTCTTAAATATTTAGTACAGAAAACTTACTTATCAAATTTCAGAGTCAATGTGTTTTACAGTTTTTGCATAGAGAACATTATGGGAATGGAGGATGCATAGAACAACAGGAGCAAGACTTTGCAAATGTTTGCTACTTAAAAATTTTTGCATCACAAGCAGAACAATTTTAGAGGATCTAAACTTTCCATTTTCAACCATGATGTTGGATGTTAGGAAACATGTTAACAGTGAATATCTTTGACTAGAATACTGTTCAGAGTGCTTTACATGTCACAGGCTCCCCTGTGATGTTGTCATGTCCTTGGGGAGAATCACTAGTTTAGAATCAACTTCAGGGCTCCTCTGCCTTGCTAAGCGCAAAACATGTGGGTAAGAAGAGCCTATAGGACTTTCCAGATCAAGGACATTTCATGCCTTATAGCACTAATCAGAATGGGTCCAGTTTCTTAGACTCACCCCCAAAAGAGAAAGTTCAAGTATATTGCCTGCCATTGCTGCCACCTAGGTTTTGATGTCACACTTCAGATTTAGCCAAAAGCTTCTTGAGGTAATAAGCGTGTGTATTGACCAACAGAAGACTGCCCATAAAATGTGGTTTGATGATAAGACAACTCTAAAGTAAGAGAAGTTTAAAAACAAATAACAGCATCCATTCTGTGCAAGACAACATCAAATCCTGAAACACTGAGACATAGATAAGTCAGAAAACTAGTTTTATAAATTGTTTCCAATGAAAGAAGACCTTGAAATCCTCTGAGCACTTTTGGTGAGGACCAGTAAGTCTGGACAAGGTGCTTAGTTCTTCATGAATGGCTTTTGGGATTGAGGTTCATGGTAACTGTTGTGCCTGAAACTGTGCATAGAATTCAGGTCTGCCCTGATTACCCAGCTCACTGAATTACTTAGTGACCTGGATGGGGTGCACATAGACTACCAAGGTACAGCAATGAAGTAGTCTTTTCTGTGAACTTTCCTGAAGGTGGTCCATTTGCTAGATGGTGGCAGTTTCTAGAACTTCAGTCCCTTTTTTGAATAATTATCTCAATCCCTAGGTGGAAAGTAACTGAAGACAAAGGCTATTAGTTGTCATTATGCCATAATTTATTACTAATCTAAACTGGTATTCTAATGTCCTGCCCCAAAAGGCAGGCCAAAATACATAGAGCCTGATAATTTCTACCCAATTCTACAACATATTTGTGCTATGGCCATAGAAGTAGTAAATTTATTCACAATTTGTAATCATTTTGATGCATTTTAACTGTATGTATTAGACTTGCTAATTTATAATTTATTTGTGGACCATTTTAGTAATTAATTAAAATAAATGAATAGTAAATAGTGTATTAGGTTGGTACAATAGCTTGTCACTGTGATGAGAAGTTTGTGTATTGAGTGCTGGGAATCAAACTCAGGGCCTTGTGCATGCTAAGCACATGCTGTATCATAAAGACACATATCTCCAACCCCCATATCAAATAATTTTTTTTCAAAACACAAGATTTGTCTAAATGCATGAGGTTTTTGAAGAACAGAACCAACCTCTTCTCTTTATTTTATAGGCTGCTTAATCTCAATCTTTTGTTTTCTTTCATTAAAGTGTGCTCCATTAAGAAGAAAGGACTCAACAAATTCTCTTGAACAAAAGATTAGGCACTTGGAAAAACAGAGGCAAGAGGTAATGTGAAATATTGGATAAAGTCACATAGCCATCTGCTAAGCCTGAGAATAAACCAAGATGCCCTTAATTTCTTTTATCTTGTCATTAAACACAGTGCTTTATCTCCATAATACTGGACTACACTATTTTTGAAAGAAAAGCTTTTAGAAATCATGGTTTGCACTATGTTGAATGAAAAAGTGTTGATGTCATTAATATGGTAGTTATAACTCATCTTTTCCAATTGTTGATGTACTTACCAATTGCATCATAGACTCTTATGGACTATGACCTTGCAAACTGATATATGATGAGATTTGAACTGTTAAAAGCTTGTGCATAGTTGATTTTAAGTTCAGTGACTTCCTGAGTTAAGCACCTAAATGACTGTGGGTTATAAAACAATGTCTTCCAGGCTGGAGAGATAGCGCAGTAGTAAAAATACTTGTCACTATTGCAGAAGACCCAGGTCAGTTCCTGGCACCCACATGATGGTCTGTGTCTTCTGTAACTACAATTCCAGATCCTATATCTTCTTCTGACCTCTGAGGATACCGGGCATACATGCAGTTCACATACATGTAGGTCAAACACCCAAACATATATAATAAAAATTAAAGATTAATCTTCAATAGAAAACACATAAATGACATAAGAAGAAAGGTGATTTCTGAGGTGATATTGGGAATTAGCTGATGCTGTTAGATGTACCATGGCTGTGTTCTGGGTCTAATGGGTGCTTGAACTCCTTCCCCTTCTCAACAAATTACTATGCATGGCTCCCACCAGGAGAGTAAGCTTGGCTCTCCTGTGAGGAGCACATACCCCACACTTTGCAGTTTGCCTTTTTCTTTTTCTGAGCGTTTCTCTTCCTATTAACTCCCTGTTTAAGTCTAACTTCCTTTTCGGGTAACTCCAGTTCTTACTGACTTACTCTGAACTCTTTTCTGTGGTGAAATCAAACATCTTGGCTTCCGCTGTATGATGGTCCCTACAAGCTAAGGGAACATCTCAAGATCTATATAGTAATGCTGGACTGTATCCCCCACAGCACCCCTGACGGCCATTTCGATGGACACATTTTCTTATTTTCATAACGGGTTCATGAATAAAGATTTATTAAGTGTTAGATCATGTCTTGACAAGTCAGTTGAGGCATTTATTAGAAAATCTCAACTTTTCTTATTTTAGTTTTCATCTTTGTTTAACTCATCCAGAGTCTGATGAAACTCTCTAACTATTTTTGTAAGAATTATTATATGAAGTGAAGTTTCTCTTTCCATATTCTCCTGTTTGTTTACTATGGCTATTAGAATGAATTCTTGTGACAACTTTTTCAAAGAATTTATAGGACCATGCGGGGTGTGTCCACGCACGGAGACAGTGGGACTGATCTAATGGGAGCTTACCAAGGCCAGCTGGACTGGGACTGATGGAGCATGTGACCAAATCAGACTCTCTGAATGTGACTGACAATGAGGGCTGACTGAGAAGCCAAGGACAATGGCACTGGGTTTTGATTCTACTTCATGTACTGGCTTTGTGGGAGCCTAGTCTGTTTGGATGCACACCTTCCCAGACCTGGATGGAGGGGGAGGACCTTGGACTTCCCACAGGGCAGGGCACCCTGACTTCTCTTAGGACTGGAGAGGGAGAGGGAGGGGGAGGGAAATGGGAGGAGGGGAGGATATGAAAATTTTTAATAAATAAATAAATTTTAAAAATATGCAATAAACATTAATGAAAATTTTTTTTAAAAAAATAAATGTATGTTTAAGTCCAAACTCAACTAATTGGCAGTCATTTACTTGCAGTGGCATGCTTTAGGATGTAAATATTTTTAAATCTTTAATTTTATGATTATTTACTTGCTTCGTTTTTATTTAGTTTTATTTTAGATGCATTGGTGCTTTGCTTGCATGTATGTCTGTGTGAAGGTGTCAGGTGCTCTGGAACTAAAACAGACTCAAGTTTAAACTCACAGAATTGCATGTAAACCCCCCCCCCCCCCACACACACACACATCCATCTAGTTTGATAAGAAAGGTTACAGGATGGCCCTCCGAGAGCCCTGAATGGACTGTACTCTGATAAAAATAAGCAGTGGCTCATAAAGTTTGCACAGAAGAGGCTAAGGCATACATTGCACTGTAAATGGAATTTCTAGGGGGATTACTAGACAATCGTGGACTTACAGCAGGAAAAGAGGACAGGCATTGACACTCGGGCCTTGAGCTGTTTTAACAATCTGACTCAAAACCTCTCTGTGTAATAGGAAATGTGTCTTTATATAGACTTCTTACAGTAAACATTGGAGGTCTTGACTTAGCCTAGCTGATGAGAAAGAGGCTTCCACCCGACTCTGGGGTGAAGGGCTCTTCTCCACACATCCTTAAAATTCTCTCTTTATCATCATCATCATCATCATCATCATCATCATCATCATCATCATCATCATCGTAATTGATGCCCTGGCAATGCTTAAACAACCCGTTTATGGCAGTTCTCCAGTTATTCCTACTCTGGGCAGTGCTAAGCGCTTGTGTTATGGTCATACCCAAGCTTCCACAGTCTTCCTTTATGCAGTCTATCCAGCATTTTTTGGACCTTCCTCTTTGCTTTCTCTCTTTAACCTGCTCCAAAATCATGCCAGCCCAACCAGAACTTGCTAGGAGAGTTGCCTTCATTCATGACTTCTAAAATCTCAGTAAGCTCAGACCATGATTTCACATTTCCTAAACTTCCAAATGGATGGAAATCTTTTCTTGAAATGCCAAATTTTAATAATTTCAGCTCCTAGAAGTCAATCAACAATGGGACCAGCAGTTCCGAAATATGAAAGGGTTATACGAAAGAAAGGTAAGAAACTCTTCATGTGGGACTTTCTTTAATAATGGTAGTATGGTCCCAAGAGATTTTTGTGGATCCCTACCTATGACAAATGAGGGGCAGAGTTCCACCATAATATTTGGCCTCTTGCACTGAGGATGGATACAATGTCAGTCAGCTGTTGGAATGTAGCCTTGGTTCCATCCAAGAGTTCCTGTGAGCACTCCCAGCTCTGAGTTGTTACTGAGGCTGAGGTCAGGTCAGGAAAAAGTCCATCAGAGAATCAGCTGGCTTCCATCCATAGAGAAACAGTGGTAACAGCCAGGATGAAAAGGGGATGCCCCCTTCTGCTTTCTTTAAAGCGTGTGGAGAAGCTTTTTAACCAGAAAGAAACCTTGGGGAAGTTTTTATTTAATAGGTTAAAGTTGTTATATTATTTGAAAGCATTCCATTTTCAAAAAAGACAGAAGAGAGAAAGTAAATTCCCCTAAATAATTCAAAAGGAAGAAAACTGACCACAGTAACGCAAAGTGCTTGCATTTTCTTCCTCATTTGATACTCAGAATTAAATTTAGAAGCAGGAAGATAGTGTCCCACTTCAGTAAGTCTGGATCTATACATTCTGAACCAGTCTGTGGCTACAAATTTTAATGACAGTGTTCCCAGAAAGAATGTTTCCACAGCATCCCAGGGCAGCCAGTAAATCCGGAGAAAAGAACAAATTGGAGGAAGCGCCATGTCCAAGGTTCTAGCACAGGGTTCTAATTTGTCAAGAGGAAAAACCACAGATACCCTGGCAAGATTGCCCTTTGTAGAGGGCTCTACTCACTTCCTGACCACCTGCAACTTTGTCTTGTTCCCTGCCTCTCAGAGGCCAGGTACAAAGAGCCCACCAGTCTGTTCTCTGGCTCCTTCATTCTTTGAAAGTAAGGGTCATTTGGAGAAAGGAGGGACGAGTAGGAATCCTCCCTCTGGGAGGAAAGTGTGTGCTTTTGTGTAGAGCAAGCCCACTCTGCTGATGTATTGTAGGGAAGAGCTCTTCCTTGGGGGACTTCCTGGACAGGGTGGGGTGGGGCACCCCTATTCCCAAGTGCACTGGGCTTGACCGTGGTGTTAACTGTTTCCCTTCCATGATCCCCTAAGGTCCTGGAGCTGCAAAAGAGATTGGCGGCCACAGAAGATATCCACACCATAGAGAAGGAACAGAAACAAAGTGTGGCAGAGGGCGACAGGCAGCTAGAGGTGGGTGGTCAGCGACTGGCCTCTAGTTGAGCAAGATAAGAGTGGTGAAAAACAGCTCTCTAAGGAGCCACACGCAGGCTCAGAGCACGGAGGTGGGTGGGTGGGTGAAGTGTGCATTGCCATCAGTGGCTAGGAAATTGGAAACTGATTGGGTGAGCACCTTCCAGGGCTTTACAGCCTCTCTTGTGAGTGACTTCCTGTTATTGCTAGGGAAAAAGTCCCACTATGTCCCCCAGAAGTGCTACCTTTCTTGCCTAGAATTGACTTCTTGCCCAGGCTGGCCTTGAACCTGCTGTTCTCCAGCCTAAGCATCCCAAGTGCTGGAATGGCAGAAGTTCTTCACCACACCCGGGTACACAGAACACTTTAAAAACCACTTCACATTCATGATCTCATTCAATATCCAAAGCCCAGCCCTGAACAGGTCAGCACTAAGAACACGGGGTCCTGAACCGAGGCTCTAGGCAGCAAGGGTGAGCAGGGACAATGAGAGGGGTTTCTTGTGGTGCAGGCTTTTTCCTCAGGAGCTGGACTTTATGACTTATGTATAAAGGGATGCTGAAGTCTAATGACAGCCCTCTGAAGACGTAGTAAGAATAGAAACAAGTATGTGTATTCTCATGGGCAGTCTTGCTGCTGTCATTGTGAAGGCAGAAAGTCTCACAAGACTGTTAGCAGAACCTCTAAGGTAAGAGTCTGGGTCTGGGTGTCCTGTCTCAGCCACTTGTGCTCAAGAGGCAAATTAAAGGGACAGTTAATCATGAAAAGCAGAGAGAGGAGATTTTGTCGGTGTACCCACGTTGGGAAGAACAATAGAGAAGCCCAGTGACTTCAAGAACACCTTCAGGGTGCTGACGTGAGTTTAAGTTTTAAACAGAGCTGAAGTGGCATCTGCTGCTAAGCAGTCCTGGTTGGGGCACGGTTCTTTGTAGATACTGTCACCACTCTGCCTCAGTCTGCCCAGCAAGATGGTCTGACAAACTGTCCAAACCCTACAAAAATCTCTTGGGCTAGCACCAGGCTTCATTCCCAGCATGAGATTCCTGGGGAAATCCCAAATCCTTGGAGACATTATCTCAGTAGTCTGACAGTCAAAGGAAGGACCTGAGTGTCTCTGTGAACATCTTTGCTCCTGTCAGGAGCAATACCTCCCATTCCACAGCTCAGGCTGGCTCACCTTGCTGAGGTTACAGTTGGGGTGAAGCAGGAAACAGGGTTCTGACAAGCCCCTCTCTGGAATGCAGTACACACTGCCTCCTTCAGCTACACCCTAGCTTGGAATTTTAGTAACTTTTCCCTCATGAACTTGGGAACATTTTCTAGATGTAATAAAATAGTATTCTTGTGACTGACTCATCTAAGTGTGTAGGTTCAGCCTATTAAAGCAAGTGATGATGAGATGTTTTCACTTCTAAAGAAAATAAGTTGCCTAAAATTGATTTCTTAAATTTAGTTACCATATTGGAATGTGACTAAAATAATATTTGAATCCCCTGCTTTAGTTACTTCTCATCTTGAGCTATATTCTGCAATATTTCTTTTTCTAGACTGTATTCTCATTAAGGATCCAATTTACTCCACCAAATTTTGCAAGCTACTGTATAGTATGAAGAGTTGAGAGATGATAATCAGGACTTTTTTTTTGACTTTACAAATTATATATTTTGTATTATTTTTATAATATACATACATAGAAAAATGAATGAAATATAACATGAAATAGGAGTCAAGCTATTTGAATATGATATATTTATTCTTGCTGATTATTTTTTTTTGGGAGGCGGTGGCGAGGAAGAGACAGAAATCTTTAATAAATAAATAAATTAAAAAAAGTAATCAGCGAGAATCAGGACTTTCAGTTGTGTAAAATGGTGAAGTTCTTGGAGATTGTTGGAGGCACTGAGCATGCCAGACACTGGAAGGCTGGATTTCTGCCTTTTAAGGGTAGTTGTGGTGATGCTGAGCTCTGAATATTTATCTGCAGCGAAGGTCCTTTTTTGTCTAAAATTTCCGGTCTTTGTCTCTGATATAGAATGGTGCAGAACTGGCCTTGAGCTATTTAGCATCAGTTTATCTCTGTAACCTTTCTTTTTCTTTTCAGGCCTTTTTAATGTTTTTAAGCAGTCCCTTGGGAACAGGGGTAGATTGCTCCACAGACTCATTGATTTGACTATAGAATGTGAGGATTAGAGTTTTAATGGTTTTTCTGGGGGTCACCACAGTATCCCTAAGTTTTCATAAAGGAAAATATGTTCAGTAGCTCTGTCCTCTACGTCAAGAACATTGCTCAAAGGAATGTTAGAGAAAACCTTGCGGGTCCCATTTGCTTATGTGTGGTGGATGACTGTCTGCCAGAAGGAGCCAGTCTCTTCAGATTTCTGCCTTATCCTTCCCTGTGGGAGTTTTTGATCTGGGTCATGTTTTCTTGTCTTTTTCTTCATAAGGAAAGGGAAAGCCTAAGGGAAGAATTGCGAGCCCTGAAGAAGGAGAATTTGCTGCTGAAGGAAAACAATGCTCTCGCAAATAGGAAGAAAGAACATTATGCCTGTGAAATTAAACGACTCAATAAGGTAGCAGAACAGGGTAGGGTGAGATGAGCATGAAGGGTAAAATGATAACCTCAGCAGCAGCTGAGTCCTGCGGGGTCACAACAGAGTGGAGCCCACAGTGTGCCTCGTCCTACATCTCCTGAGGTCCCTCTCTGGTTTACACAGAACACCTAGACACAGCTGGCAGTCACATTTGGCTAGGATGCTTTGGGAAATTTCTGTCCCTGCAGAGAACCATGGAAAGGGGAAACAAAGAGAAATTATATACATCAGTAAGTTTTTTTTTTAAGAAGCACATAACGGCACTGGGTGTTTGTGAACTATAACGTATCTCTTGGTTGACCACAAAAGCTTCCTGAGGAAGCAAGCTGCTCTGTAAAGTGAAGGCCGTGGAGCTGGGTGTGATGCATGCATGATGCATGGACGCCTGCTTAGTGCCAGATTCAAGACTGAGATGTCTGATGCCTAAGGAGCCAGTCTAAGTCCATTGTGAATAGGATCTGACAGAAAGAGGCAAGGCTCGGGGTGCAAACATGTGGCTTCATGGTTAAGCTCAGAGGAGAAACTAAATTGTTTTAAAGGAATGATGATGAGTATGTGAATGTGTGTATGTGTGTATCTGTATGTGTCTACATAATATGTGGGTGCGTGCATATATGATGTGTGTCTGAGTTTATATATATGTGTAGGTGTGTATGTGTATATATGTATGTCTGTCTGTGTATATGTGTGATATGTGCATGTGTGATATCTATGTGTGTAGACGTGTGTATGTTTGCATATATATATGCATGTATGTATGTATGTGTATATATGTGTGTATATGTGCATAAATGTGTGCATAAGTTTATATATGTGTGTATATGTATGTAGATCAGTTAATGAACTAATGTAATATTTTGGGGAATGAGAACACTAACTCAGTACAAAAACATAAATCCCATACTGTTGTTATTTCAAGAGGTAAGCCAAGAGTACACACAGGAATGTTGAAATATATGAATGAGTTGAAATCTACATCATTCAATTAGGGATTTCATGGTCAAAGTAACAGAAATGATCTTCTATAGCAAAAGAGAGCAGTTGATGGCCTTCACACTGCGTTCAGTCCTGTAACTTTGGACCGCACTTCAGCCCATGCTCAGAGGTGCTATTAAAGACCCCAGGTAAGATGTACGCTGGCATCATTGACAGGATGCTTGCAAACCGGATTCAGCATTAGGTCTGCTTATAGCATGAGTCATTCTTCAAGAAAGAACAAGAAAATAAAGAAAGACTTCCAACCAGCATTTCATCCTTCAGAGAAAAAGAAAGTGTTCAGACACAAAGTTTCATGGCAATTAATTCTATGTCTTTTCCTTTTTATCCTCTACTGGAAAAATTACTCCATAGAAATCAGAGGACATAGGATAACTGCAGTTACATGTGACGTTCTAGTTCATTTTGCCATATGAATGCAAAAAAGTTCATTTCTGTCATGTGAAAGCCCCAAAACTAAAAGAAAAGCCCTCCAAACCCAAACAACCCAAAAACAAACCAAAACAAAAGCTCTGTGCATATAAACAGACAAGAGTTTTCTATTTTTTTCATTTCCGTATGCACATTAGTCTTTGCTATTGGTGATTGTGGTTGACAGAACATTTTTAAATTCAAAGAAATAGACAGCTATAATCTCAGAACTTCTGCCTCAGGTTCAAGGCCAGCCTGTTCTCCATAGCTCGCTCCAGGCCAGGCAGGTGTATCTCTAAGGAAAAAAATAACTTGATAATTTGGTACCTAGAAACATAAAACCTCATTAAGAAAAAATAATTTAACAAAAGTCATATCTTTACTCAAATATAACCTTTCCAAAGAATATTTTTCTTTACATCTCAATTAAAATTATATGCCCTCATTCCAGATACAATCTTTGATTTCTTTCTTGGCATTTATTATTGCTACCCAGTACATAATAATGTACATTTATCATTTATCATCTCGTCTCTATTGATCCACTATTGATTGTGAGCTCCTTGAGTTAGGTTTGGGCATAGTAGGAACCCTGGTGGCCACAGTAAATACAGTGTGTGGCCATAGGGCATATAAGGGCTTATAACTATGTCTTGCTTCTTTTTAAGTAGAAGTAAAATAAAGTTTTAGGTTAAAAACATAAAACATATTATATAGTCGTTATTCACATAGCAAAGTAGCTATAAAATACAGTTTTCCTATGCATCCTCATGATGAAAAGGCTTGATAGAAACCAGCCAGCATGTAGCCCTGACTTTTTCTGCTTTAGTCACTGAAGTTTCCTGAGTGTCTAGTACAGGGCCTTTGTCACACAAAGTTCTTAAATGTTCACTGAGTGATGAAAGGGTGAATAGATTAGTAAGTACACAACATATGCAACGATCGGTTTTTGACCTGAGAATTATCATTTAACAGGCATCACATTACCATAATGCATAATTTATTGCTTATGATTAATTGTGATGAATATGAAAGAATGCTTAAAACCTCAAGAGACTTCATCCCACGCTGCTCAACTGAAACTGTCCCTTAAAAGCTTAGATATAAAGTGATGATTTCTGAGATTTTTCTTACTCATTTAGCACATTTATTAGTATCTAATCAGATACACATTATTAATATTGCAGTTATTGCTATTGGACTTAAATTGCTTGTTTATTTTTATTTATATGTGTGTGCCTGCCTGTTTTTATGTGCTCCATGTGTTTGAGCCCTCAGATTCCAGAAGAAGCACTAGATTTCCTGAAGCTAGAGTTAGAGAATAGGGAGTAGCATGGTGTGAGTGCTAGCAACTGAGCCCCAGGGCTCCTAAGTGTCAGATGTTTGGATTTTGTGATGAATGCTTTTCTTTCCCTTTTTTTACTATTATAATAAATATGGAGATATTTGAGTATTCCCCAGAGCATGAATAAGTCAACCTTTAGCTTCTTTCTAACTCACTCACTCAGAAGAGACACAAGGTTAAGAATGAAAACTTCAGGAAGAGACAGTTACACAAGTAATTAAATGAGCTTTTCAAATGTGTGCCTGAACTCAACTCAGTTCATCTGCTTGGAAGAAAATACCCCAGGATTTTGCTAATATCAAGTTCTTACAGAAATGTTAGATACTTAGCCAGAGTGAGATTTGAGACTAGTCAGCTAACGCCATCCTGTGCAAAATTGACCTGTCTGCCACCTAATGATTTTGGGAATGCAGCGGTCGATCATTTGACTAAATGTATCAGAACCGGTAGTGAAAATGACTAATCTAGAAGAGGTTCAAGGAAGTTGGAAAGTACCAACAAATGTTGATTCAACTCACGTTTCATGCATGACTCATTTTAAAATTTCCTGAATAGCATTGCGGAGTAAACCAGGAAATTAAAATAAGGTATCTGCAGAAGTCGTCCAGTTGTGGGTCCTAGACATGGCATTGACACATTTGATCATTGCCATTCATTTGTGAAACCCTCTCTGAATCCTCTCTACTGTCATTTACACAGCATAAAATTATGTCCAGCTCTCCTTATATTTCCTAGAATTATGAAGCTTGTGCATGTCACAAAAGGATCAAGTGCCACTTCTGGTTCACACTTGTAAGGATTCCTAACACCATTGTAAATAAATTAGTAAATTAAGACAAAACCCAACATTTTTTAGTCAACTTTGTTCTTTATCTAAGTTCCCCCTGGAGGAAGAAAAAAATAAATTGTTTCTCCTGAAAAGTTCTAATATGTACATTCTATCAGGCTAGGTGGTATGTGTAGTTCTAAGATATACTGTTAGGGAATTCCCAGTTCAGGACAACAAGCTGGCTTTTCCTGCCTGCTTTATGACCATACTGTGTAGTGGTGGAGAGAGTACTCTGCCGCTAAGATCATCCATTAACCTCACTTAAGTTCAATAAGCTGTGCAGTAGTAGACCTCTGAGATGAACCCTTTCTATGCCTGGAGTACTCACTTGACTAACTAATAAGCTGTCAAAATGTGGTACTGAGGACACTCATGGATGAGAGTGTCTGTCACAACAGCATCATTTTTATGAAATTCATCATGAAATGTAAGTCTCTAAACAAGAGTTAATATCCTTGCATAATCTAAGTATGAGCACTACAGGTTTGTGATAAAGGATGAGAAGTTACCAGCAAAAGCAAGTTTCTCTTTGCCTCCTTATTCCATGACAAAATCATAAAGTTATAGCACATACCATCCCACACAGTCATGAGTAAATAAATGCTTTGATTAATCATAAATATGGTTGGCTAGGCCAAGGAATAGAGTGCTTGAAAATGTCATAACAGAAGAGAAATGCAGCAGGGCCTAGAGGCAGTGACTATACAGTTGGCCACATGATATGGATTGCCTTGGAGACATGGTGTGGTTAAACAGCAGTGTCCTTGCATCCCTCATTAGACCTGCGGATTGGGAAGCTCTGGAGACTGCCCAGGGAGGCTATGTCTGCTCTCTCTGATGCCCCCAAATAGAAAGATTACAGAGATAGAAAATATACTGGAGGGAAACGGAGACTCTGCAGAAGACTCTTGCTCTTTTCTTTCCTTAGCTGGGTGACAGGAAGGCCAACACAGTAATCCCCTTTAACATAGTGGAGGTTGAATAACACTCACATCATCACGTGGAAGACAGAGATTTGGAAAGTATGCACATATGCAGAAAATTAAAAGGAAAAAAAAAGCTAGCCAGCCTTGTAGGGAGCATTAAAAATAAATGCTTCTTCTTGTACTGGAGGGGGTTGTACCAATTATGAAATAATTGCTAAGATCATTGTAAACCTCCTGTCAACAGTAGGCTTCATTTTTACCACAGGCTCTTCAGGATGCCTTGACAATCAGGAGCCCTTCGCTTTCTGAGGGCTCCAGGAAGTGTACAGGCAGGTGCAGCCATGCCAAGATGAGAACAAAGGAGGAAAGTCACAAGCACCAGGTGAGAGGCAGAGGCGGGAAGTGGAGTGATCTGGGGAGAGCACAGGGCTCCCTGTTCACGTTCCTTTGGACAGGTCTGCCTGTCTTTCGATTAAAACAGTAGGAAGGATTTTCTTATTTAGTTAGAGTGATTCAATTTTAAAACCAAATATGAAAAATGGAGATGGGTTTTTTTTTCAGCCCCACTATTCATAGATGAATTCATAAAAGAGGAAATTGAACTTTAGATGGGTTAAGGGGCTTCACCCAAGATCACTCAGTCAAGAGAGTGGCAAGTGCATTATGCTGGTGTGAGATTCTGTCAGCAGTGAGTCTTGAGAGTCTCATGTAGATATAGAGTATTTCTACAACACTTTAAACTCTGGCCCTTTTCAGAGAATGGTAGCAGTTAGGGCCATTCTACTGTAGCTGCTGGCCTCTGGTTGGCTGAGCAGTAAGTGTACACATTTGCTTTTTTTTTTAATTTAGTGCCATTTATTTATTTATATGTGGATATGCAAACATATATGATGGTTTGTGTGTAAATCAGAAAAAGCTGGCTTTCTCCTTCCACTGTGCATTGAATTCAGGTCTTCAGACTTAGAGACAGACTTCTTTTCCACTGCTGAGTCCTTCTGCAGGTCGCAGTAAGTGTAGCTTGAGAAAGAATTCTCCCCACAGATGGACTCACTGGCAATCAGGCTAGCTCAGCTCCTCCCATCTTTGGGTAGATGATCAACAGTTTGCTGACAGATATCAGTTTCATCCATCCACTACCTCAGCCTCTCTCCAGCTCACCAAGTGAACTTTGTGCGGAAATAGAGGATCTGCAAATTAAACTGTAAAGTTCCATCTTTTCTCCCACTGCAAGGAGAAGTATCTGGGTAAGTAGTTTAGTTTGGGTTTGATGCAGACAGTGACAGGTATACAATGGTTCATAACAGCAAAGAGGAAAGCAAAGCCCATCTACTGTGTTTGGATGGCTCTATTACTAATGACCCTAATTTACATTTTAACCATTTAGTTCCTAACTGAACAGCTCTAATGGACACATCACTAAGTGCCACATGAAATGCGTGTGGTGTGTGGAATTATGTGGCTTCACTTAGGAGCTATTGCTAGTTAGCTCTGTTTTAGAACTTGAAATACTGTTCAGACATTAAAGCCCTTCCTTCATGGATATGGTTAACTTACTCCACCACAGCAGTGCATGACTTTGGCCAGTGGTCCACGATGAACGATGGAACAAAATAATAAGTAAAGACAAATTTTAAAATTATTTGTGCTGCTTTACTTTTGAGCTCCTAATGTGTGTTCAAAAATAAAGATTTGTAAACTGGCTCTTCTAACAGCCAAAGATAAAATTATAATCATAGGTATCTCTATATCCACCATGGAGGATTATTCATGAACAGAGACTAAGAAAGCTTTAGTCTGGAAAAGCACAGATAGTATTTTTTTAAAAAAATAATTAAAATGCCTGAAAGGAAAAATAAGCTCTCATTCCCTGTTAGACAGACTGATTTCTTGGGTATAGAACAATGAACCATTGCCAAACACATGTGTGTTCTTTTTTATTTTATTTTATTTTTTAACCTCAAGCCCTTTAGAATTCTAGGGATTGTCACTCGGTATTTTAAGAGGTTATTACTGGGGATGAAATAATTTCCATACATTCTTATAAGGAGATAAAAACTACTAGAAATTCCTTTCAACTTAAGTGTATTAAAGAATTACCCATGACACTGGGTCCCAGAGGCTATTTAAGAAATAAGAGTTCTTCTGGTCTTTTTCTTATAATATTTATCTTGGTAGATTTGAGAGTTTAACTACATACTATGCAAATACAGGCAAATTGTTCTGAAGCCCTTTTCTTTCAAGAGTTGTGCTGGAATGTGTCTGCCTTCCAAGATACACATATTTTTAAATGCACATGAATAGAGAAATCCCAGGATTTCTTCGGTGGGTTTCCAGAGTTAATGGAACTGGTACACTTTCAAAAAAGCGGGTTTCATGAAGTGTGTATTAAATAAGAAAGTTATGTGTAATAAAATATATAAAGAGTAGACTCAGGAAACAATTGTGATGAGTAAATACTGATGTTAATTAAAGAAAATGTAGTTAATGTCACCTTTTAAATAATTTTGAAGTTAACATAATGTAAAGGATTTCATTATATTTTCATAAATATATCTATGCCTGTGGCTCCTTTGCTTATCTTCTGCTTCCTGATATTCTTCCTCCTCAGATATGCTCCTCCTCTCAGATTCTCCCCTCTTCTCAGATGTTCCCCTCCTATCAGATTCTCCCCTCATCCCAGATGCTCCCCTCCTCTTAGATGCTCCACTCCTCTCAGATGCTCCTCTCCTCCTCTCATGTTCCATGTATTCATTCAATATGCTTTCTACTTTCATGCTTTTTCACCTTAAGATTTCTTTCTCTCCTCTCATGACTTTCTATCTTAATATCTTCACACACACACACACACACACACACACACGCATGCACACACACACACACACACACACACACACACACCTTAAATAATGTGATTTATACTTAGAATAGCTAGAGCATTTTACTTGAAAGGCTTTGCCATGCCTTTTAGTCAGGAGGGAATTGGTGTGAGACCTGCTAAGATGGCCATTTTGCTTCAAAATGTTTAAGTCTTTTAAGAAAAGTTAAAAAGTTAATCATTCTTTCCTTCTTAATTCACAGTAGATTGTGAGTTAAATTTTGCTTTCTTGACGCTTTTTCCAGAACCGACATAAAATTCTCAATTTTACATGTGAGTTATTTTGGCAGAACCATTTCTAAGAAATTCAAAATTATTTTATGCAATAAAGAAAAATTAAGTTAAAGGGGATCAAAATATAATTAGATAATTTTATGAAAATCATTTATTCCTTCTAATAAGTAACAACAATGGCTGAAAAATTCTAAGTGTTCTTAGTGAACAAATTACTCTCTTATTTATTTCTTACATGCGAAGCTACTTTAATTCTTTTTGTTTGAGCACAAATTATTTTTTCCTTACATATTTTATTCCTATTATTTTAAATTCAGATTGATGATAACTCAGTGTTGAGGTCTGCTGATGTACTTCCTGTTACGGAGCTCTGGTCCAGTCAAGAACAAATATCCATCTATTTAACATTATGGAGAATGACCAACAAATAACTTTTGTTCCCATAACATTTGTAATTTTTTATTAATGTCAATAAAACAATCAGTTTTCTAAGTACAATATGGCATAATTTTGCTTATAAGCAAAGAAACAACAAATCAGATGTAATATTTTAAGTCTATCAGAATTTTTCTTTTTTTTTCTTTTTTTAAGAGAAAACACTCAAGTTTTAATAATGGCAAGCTTTACCTTGGAAAAAAAATAGGACAAAGCCAGTGGGGTTTGGTGTTGTGCCATCCAAACAAAGCAAGCCTGTGGCCTGTGGGTTTCATTTTTGACCTATGGACTTCTGATGTTTCATTGGCCAGAACTCCTGGGTGCCATTTATCTCTCAGGGGTCTTAGGCCTCCCAAAAGCAACTACAATTCCTCTTTTTTTTTTCTTCTTTTCCTTCTTACTTTTTTATTTATTTATTTTTTTTTTAGAATTTTTCTTTCAAGCTATGGCAGCCAAATACTTTTAAGGTTTCATTCATTGTTGTAAAATTATAATAGAATTTACAAAAAAGGTGCAGGAGATGATTTGGTCTTATTAAGTGTATTGACAAGGACATTTGGCCATAGTGTATCTGTGGTGATACAGAACATGGGATGTAGGATGTCAATGGTTTTGACTAAGAAATCAAAAGCCAGCTCCCTTTGGGTGTATCAGGTAGGAAGGATCCCAGGCTGTGACTTTGCAAGACAAAGTTGGGCCTTAAACAGTGTGAAGACATAAAGCAAAGCAGTGTAGCTCTGAACAACATAGCTGTCTGTGTCCCAGAGTCCTCATCTATCAGGTGGAGATCGTGCTGTCCTACAGAGAGACAGGGAGACGATGCTGACTGTACAGAAGATCACAGGGCAGCTGCTGTCCCACGTCAACACATACCATACTTTGCAAACATGCAGAGAGAGTCTCAATGGCAGGCTGACCAATTTCAATTTATTTAGCAAGTGGTGGAAGTGTCTATGTTTATATCCAACTACATTACCAAGAAAGAATGGTATGAACTGACAAATTTGTATAACACTTAAAGTTATTTGACTTTCTAACTTGCCTTTGGGAATTTCAAGATAGAATCAACATATCGCAGGAAGGGCAGTTCAGTTGGCATCATTGCCACCCTTGGACTTGCGAGTGAGCAGGTCACTCATAGCTGAGTCAAAATCAGTTTGGGAACTAATGATTTGAAATCTCCTGATAGATAACATCTTTTTCTGTATATAAACTCTTGTCAAATAGAGGGGGGAAAACTACAAAGCAAGCAACTAAAATGGGTATTTTGGCCCATACACAAGTCCTCTTGTCTTTAATCTACAAGTTTTTTTCCCCACATTTCTCGTGGTTCTAATCATGCAGTAGATGGTCCAGAACCATCCATGTTTTCACTATTTCTAAAAATGTCAGTGAATAGATAGTACTTAGGAATTGCAGAGGTCATGGAACCCTGTAACATGAGGGGCCTGCTGCTTGTTTGTGTTTCTGTCCTGCCCAATACACCACAACTGTTTAGCCCTAAAGAAAATCACACATAGGTCTCCATAAATTATAAGCTGATTGGCTCATTAGATCTAGCCTCTCATGTTGCTAATTCTCACATCTTGATTAACCAACCCATTTTTCTGATGTTAACCATGTGGCTCAGTACCTTTTCCAGCGAGGCAGATCACATCCTGCTGCTTCGGTGGTCTGGGCAGGAGTGGGAGGAATCAATTTCCTCCATCCCAGAATTCTCCTATTCTCATTGCATCATTTCTACTTCCTGTCTGGTTTTCCTGCCTATACTTTTTGCCTGGCCAATCAGTGTTTATTTATAACATGATTGACAGAATATAGACAATTCTCCTGCACCAGAACCCATGTGCCTCTCAGAGTATATCACAGGTACACAGGGTGTGTCAGAGTAGGTTCCAGCAAATACAGATCCCTTCACAAACTCACATGCACCTGAGAAATGCAGTTCTTAGGTGTTCTCAAGTATTCCAGATTTCCTTAATGATAGTGCCATTTTGTGCAAGACTTACTTCATGAGACATTTTTATCACACCTAAGTTCTTATTGACATTTATTGTTTTGAGCAAGTATTACAATAGATTAGACTAAACTTTCAAATGTAAACAAAGACTGGTTGTATATAGCAAGTGTCAGTGAGACTTCTAAATTTTACCTACTTGAAGTAAACTGATACTATTGCTCTCCCCAGATGTGTCTCTCAGCCTGTAACTGTGGCCTGGTTTTCCATCTGCAGATCCCATGAGTACCAAAAACTACAGAGCCGGTACAGCACCCATGGGAACATGCACTGAGTAAGATTTCCTCTTCCAGCATATGAGTTTATAGGAATGTCTGTTGGAGGAAATGTTATATATCTCTTAAATAAGAGCACCTCTTTTACCTAACCTCTTATTTGCAATCTTCCCCTGGTCCATGTCCACTATAATTAACCTTGAAACACTGAACCCATAAGACATAGGGATATGAGTAGATTAAGTAAAAGATACCAAATTGAACTCTAATTTTTTAAACAAACCTATTTATACAGGCCATTCTCAATTATCACATATGACACCACCCAAAGTACGTTTTTACATATAAGATGAACAAAGTAAATATAACCAAACCAAACCAAACAACTGTGATGTTCTCTTTGGTTATAAACTGGTATTGAATTACTCTTAATATTTGTAGGCACATGCAAAGGAGTTTTGAGCTTTCCAGTTAAAAGGGCTTTTTTGGAGTATTCAAGAAAAAGTAGCCCACTAAAATTCTCCGTTGCAGCTGTGTCTGCCAGGATAATTGAGTAATTACTTGTGAATGGAATTGATTTGGCCTGTTAACCTGAATGAGTCTCTTGATGTCCAGAGCACGCTTGCTGTCCTTCCACCCCTATGATCACTATTTGATTCTTCTCTGCTTTGCCAGCATGGGCAGAATCTTCATCCATGTGGAATGGTCATATATTTTCTGCATCTTGGAATGACCAGACAACTCTCCCTGCCCAAAAGTAACCATTGCAGTAGGAGCGGCAGGCTGTGTTCCCACCCAGCTCTTGCACGGCTAGCTTTACCCAAAATAATTACACAGAAACTGTATTCTTTTAAACACTGCTTGGCCCATTAGCTCTAGCCTCTTACTGGCTAACTCTCATATCTTGATTAACCCATTTCTAATAATCTGTGTAGCACCACGAGGTGGTGTCTTACTGGGAAGGATCTTAACCTGCATCCATCTTGAAGAGGAGAGCTATGACGACTGCCTGACTCGGCTTTCTTTCTCCCAGAATTCTGTTTTGTCTACTGCACCCACCTAAGGGCTGGTCTATCAAAGGCCAAGCAGTTTCTTTATTAATTAACCAATGAAAGCAGATGACATTCCCACATCAAACCATGACCCAACTCTGATACTGGAAGTAGGGTTTTCCTAGCAAAGCACTTAAATAAATGTTTTTCTCCCAGTTGCCTGGAACCTTTGTACTTTTGTGTGGAAAGCGTAACTAAAATCCTTCACTATGGGAGAAGATGAAGTCTATTCGATGGCAGAAGGGCACTGGAATTTAGTGATGTTTCCTTTAGGACCTGTGTCTTTCTCTGATGTGGCAAGTTGTTAGTTACATCTGCTCTCTGTCTTTGTTACTGGCCCTCCTGGTCGTCTATATTTACCATACACTTCTGGGCTTTTCAACCTCAGCCATCATTCTTTTAGAACCTTTCGTTCAAGGATGTAGAAGTAAATTAAGTTTGTGGGAAACATAAGGAAAAGGAGTTCTGCAGTTTGGGAAATTGGATAGTCTTGTGAAATACAAGGTACAAGAATAATTCAACTTTATGTAGGAATGGAGATGGTTGGGTGCTTCTGTCAAGCCTTCCTTAAAAGGAAGAAGGAAGAATTCATGTCCTATGGTGTAGTAAACTATCCATGTTGATTAGAAGAGGCAAGGAACTCCAGATCATAAAATTATCACCCCAAAAGGCCAATATTTGATGAAAGCAATGTAAAGGCTTACGTTTTAAGCAGTATTCTGTTGTATGAAATCAGTGTAACGAAGCCTGAAGGTGAGTTTTAAAAGAATAATTCATCATTCTTTATATCTAAGCCTGAATTAAATCGCATCTAATAATGTTGGTAAGATTACACTTTATTACCTCATTTTGGCAGCTCTCCTGGAATATAAAGCCATTACTTATCCTATGTGTTACTTGAGACATCTTAAAATAAAGGAGAATATAAAGAGATAGAGCTGATCTCATTTCCTCTTGTAGTTCTTTCATGGGCCAAAGCAGCCATGAGCCTGGGTGTCTGAGGGGTGAGGTGGGTTAGGCTTCGGTGAAGGCTGCCTTTCTTAGTAACTGAACTAAATAAACTATGGTAGGTGAGCTTTTCCACTGAGTTTTGTATTCTCTATTCACTACAGATTGCTGTTGTTGCCACCTTGTGAATTCTCCAAGCTGGCTAATTTTCCTTGCCTTATATTTAGTATAGAATTAAATAATTGAGCACAAGGCCTGCATTATCTGTGGGAGAATGGGGAAAAAAGGACATCATGTGAGTGTGAGCAGAAAATTATACCAACAGTATGGACGAGAAGAGATTGTGAATCTTCACTCCAAGAAGTTAAACGCAAAGACAGTGGCTTGGAACTTTCTTGACAGTTTAGGACAGTAAGTGGTGATACAACATCACCAAAAGAGAGTTGGGAAAGAAAGGGTTTGCTTGATTTATATATCCTGAATGACAGTCCATGAAGGGAAACCAAAGCAGGAGCTCAAACTGGAGAGGAACATGAAAGCAGGAGCTGATGCAGAGGCCATGGGTGAGTATTGCTTACTGGCTTGCTCCTCATGGCTTGCTCAGCATACTTTCTTATAAAACCCAGGACTACTATTCCAGGAGTGGCACCACCCACAATACATTAATTAAAATGGCCTACAGGCTTGCCTACAGTCAGATCTTAGGCAAGCATTTTCTGAATTGATGTTCCCTCCTCTTAGATGACTACAGCTTGTGTCAAGTTGATATAAAACTAGCTAACATAAAAAAGTATAACTTATTCAATGCTGCTGGCTTATTCCCTGAGAGCCAACACTTAAGTGTAAACTTAGGAGAAAATTTTAAGTGAGAATAAAAGTCTAATCTGTTCAGTGTAACTGCTGTATAATGTAGAGACTACCTTCTTTGAAGCCTCAGCGAAAGGGAAGCTTTGTCCTGCTTTGCCTACTGAACTGCTTGCTGATTTCCCAAGATATCTGTGGACTCTTTCACAATCCACTAGAAAATATTAAGTTTGTATTTTTTGTTCCTGGCTTTCTTATTACCTGCAAATGAAGGTATTAAAATAGTATTTATTGACAGCAATATGTTCTTTATTTGATTTGCTTGAGATTGTAAGATTTCAAAGATGTTTATACTTCTTCAGAGATCCAAACACATCATTTCAAGACAGGGAGAAGAACAGAGAGAGTAGGGAACAGAGAGGGGGTGGAGGAGGGGATGTTCTAGATATTGTCTCTTTCTATGATAAAACACTGACTGAAATCAACTCGGGGAGGAAAGGGTTTATTTGACTTACATGCCTGCATCACAGTTCATCATCGGAGGAAGCCATAGTAGGAGCATAAAGCAGGAACCTGAACACAGGAACTAAAGCTGAGACCCTTACTTACTGCTTACTCCCCATGGCTTGCACAGAGTAATTTCTTATACCAGGACCAACTGCCCATGGGTGGCACTGTGCACAGTAATATAGGTCCTCCCACATATATTGTTAATGCCCCATAAGCATGCATACAGATCATGCTGAAAGAAGCAATATGCCTCAGTTAGGTTCCCTCTTCCCCGGTGATCCTACTTTATGTCAAGTTGACAAAAATTAATCAAGACAGAGAGAGGCCGGAGGATGACATAAAGGAAAGAAAAGAAAAAAGAAAGCAAGAGAGGGAAGAGGGAAAGAAGGGAGGGGGGAGGAAGAAAGAGACAGAAAATGTATAACTTCCAAGTCACAGGAACTCTAGCCAGGCACATGCAGGGGGGCTGAGGTAAGGGGGTGAGATGAGGAAGATTGGCAAAGATTTGTATCAAGATGACTTTCTTTTGTGTGTTGACTGTTGACTGCTTGATAAAATCCACACTGTATAATTGTATCATAATGTGCCACAATGCCTTTTTTGAAGTCTATATTTCTGTAACAATGCTTTATTTTTCCCACAGCCAGACTATCAGTGGAATGCTCTTAACCAGACTCCTCCACATGTACAGCACAAGGCACATGGTAAGAGCACAGCTTTAATGGGCGTTCTTTCATGTTTACATACAAGTGGGGTCTTTGGGGGGAGGCTTATTCAATATTTGTTTGTACTAGGGAAGACTTCCTGTGTAGCTCTGTCACGCACACACAATTCTAATTTGGTGGTCTGGTGTGAACTCCTCCAGACAATGGTAACATGATGAAAGAAACGTGTGTCTTGGTTCTCTCTTCTGCTTCTATTCCAGGCTCAGAGTCAGAGACTTAAGAAATGAAAACATTAAGTAGAGCCATACCCAGTAACATCAACAGCACTCTAATTCTACCCCAAAGGACAGGTGCAAACCCACAGCCCAGGGGGAGTCAAGGCAGGCTCTTGTTCATTTTGTTTTGAGACTAATAGCTTCAAACTCACTCTGTAGCTAAGGAGGAGCTTGAAATACTGATCATGCCATGATGTCCTAAGAGCCAGGATTTCAGGGGTGCATCACCAAGCCCAGAAAGGCAAATGTTTCAAATGTCATTGGCATACAAAAGTACCCCAAAGCTCAGAACAGTTTTTCCTTGAGATGTGATGGCAGATTCTAAGGAAACAGTCTTTTCTGTTCTGCCAGAGTTGCCCACAGTACCCGTCTCACACAATGCTTCCTCCACATGTAACCACAGGGCACGTGGTAAAGTAGGAAAAATACCAAATGCAAAATACTCAAGACTGAAAATGCCTGTCAGGCTCATTTTTCTTTGCTCTCCTAGTCTTGCCTTCTCTCTAGAATCAGCCTTACTTTCTGCTTGTTTGAACAGTCCCTTTAGGTCTTTCAGGAGTGGGTATTTTGAACAGAATAATAAGTAGAGTCCCTCTGCTATTCTCATCCATTTAAAGCCTTCTCTGACACACACTAACTTGACCTTGTTCATTTTCAGAGATGTGTATTTTTCTAGAAGCCTCAAGAGAAGCTCTGTAGCTTTAACTTGTACTTGAAATGCTATCACATTTAAATCCAAGCTGAGTTAATTTTAGTTTTTAACATGCTACACCCCCCCCCCCGCTCTGATATCTGTAGTGCACATTTCCTTTCTCTTGGCCCAGCATCAATCCATGCCCACAGGTCTCCATGACAAATATCCCATGTTGTTGGCATCTCCAATATCCTGGAGTCTCTATAGCCACCTCGGCTCTACCTTCACAGCCTTACAAAATAGTCTCTGAAGACCACCTTGCAGGGACTTGGATCCTGCCACATGTTACCTGACCTCAGCTGCTCTCTGAAATCACAGAATGGAGCAGAACTCCAGGACTCTTACAACCTTGTCTTTCCTGCCTCTAACCCAACACCATATGGATTACATTGCCAAGCTCTGCTGCCATCAGTAGATGTAACCTGGGGCAATTGGACCACAGTTACATCAGCTTCTGTGCTCTGAGCCTGGGAAAGCTCTCTATTGCGTTTCCACTTCTAAGGAACAGGGAACTCCTTTGGATGTTTTCTCAGTTCAGGCTTTCTCTTTTCGTGTAAATTTGAATTTTTATAAAGTGGAGCCTTTAATGAGTACATCTTATCTTGAAGTCACATTTTATATTGGTTCTAATGCCGAGTGCCATCTTTCTTATCAGTGGAACAGTTCTTCTGAAAAATCAGAGCTGCTTCATTGTCTGCACTCTGTGTGAAACTGCAAGCTTGCTCATAGTCCCTTCCTCAACCAAACAAATTGCCTTTAAATTCAACTTCAGTCAAGTTCTCAGGACACAGGTAGAATGTAGTCACATTCTTTGCCAAAACATCATGTGAATGCTAGGAAACATTAAAAAATGGGGATTCTCTAATAAAATATCCAGATATATTACAGACAACTAACTAGACTTTCGATTTGTTTTGTACTACAAATAGATTACAAATTTCACCAATAAAATTTTGGGTTCCTTTATAATGGAGAAATTAATTAGAAAGGCATATGCTTAGCCAGGACTATTGCATAATGTCTGTAGTTTTGAAAGACATTGAAATGCGACATGGTATAATTTTCCACTTTCTATTGATCTGTAATGAAAATAAGCTATTATCTCCATGTGCTACAGTTTTAGTCACTCGAAGACACAATACAATAGAGAATTCACCAGCCGGTCATTTGCACATCATTATCAAAGTCATCCAAAGCCAAAGTCACGGAAGATAATAATCACATAAAATATGAATTGGTTATGATATTTATCATCTAAATAAAACATGTAAAATGGAACTTATTAGTCATATAAGGTCTACTGACATATCTGCCTACGAAAATACAGTGAGCTTTGTGATGCATAAACTTGTAACATAAAACAGCGTCTACAAGGATAACACTACAATCAAGAAAAGACCTGTAATGTGCCAACTTCAGTAGTTTTATAACACTGTTTCTTTTAATCTTCTCAGCAATACTCTAGCATAAGTTTGCTTTATGCTACCTCATATGTAAGGAAATGAGCTGTGGAGAATTTTAGTATCATTTTAATTTCACAGTGCAATTTAGCACTGAATTTAGATTCTTTTACACACAGGATTGCAAACCTTGTGATTTCAATTTCAATCGACAGTGTCTTTGAAAGCCCAGTCCTATTACTATATTAGAAATGCTAAAAAAGAGAATGGGGATTCTTATTTGGGTAATGTTTAATTTTCAATAATTTCTATGCACTCACAATATGCGTTATGCCTTTTTCTATTTTTTATTATAATTAAAAGTAATAAACTCTGTTCTATTGGGATCTCACCATGGCCAGCTGGCCTAGGCCTGAAAAAACATGGGATAAATCCGGACTAGCTGAACATAGCGGACAATGAGGAATACTGAGAATTCAAGAACAATTGCAGTGGGTTTTTGATCCTACTGCACGTACTGGCTTTGTGGGAGCCTAGGCAGGTTGGATGATCACCTTACGAGACCTGGATAGAGGTGGGCAGTCCTTGGGCTTCCCACAGGTCAGGGAACCCTGATTGCTCTTCGAGCAGATGAGGGAGGGGGAATTGATCGGGGGAGGGGGAGGGAAATGGGAAGCGGTTGTGGAGACGAGGCAGAAATCCTTAATAAATAAATAAATTAAAAAAAAAAAAACAAAAACCAACCGGCACACTAAGGATAAAAAAAAAAAAAAAAAGTAATAAACTCATTCTACAAACAATACAGTTTCTCCAAAGGAGGGCATAAAAGCCACTATACAACACAGACAGAAAGCATTGTGTTTTCTTTATCTGGTATTTAGACTATCACTAGGAAAAGACACAGCACTGTATATAATATTAGTAAACATATCACTACCTAACTCATGCATGAATGGACTGGCAGAGCCTCTCAGGATAGCTGCTATTGAAGCCTGTCATTCTCTATTCCCACAGCACTGTCACTGACTGTGTCTGGATACATCAGGAGGATGACTCTTTGTGGGCTGGGGATACCAGATAAATTTCTTATGCAGAATTAACTCTTTGTGTTCCTACTTCCACCTTTTACTCTGTAGCTGTTTCATAGCTCAAATTAGGCTGTATTCAGCAAGTCTCTGAATCTGTCCTCATCACAATGAGTCCTATGCTTTCATTATCTTTACCAGTGCATCTTGCTGTGCTTTGGTTCATTTGCTGGGAGTATCTTTAGATCTGTAATTTTAACTTAGTTGTTTTGAATGTTCATATAAGCATGTAATGGTGATGATTACTAAGAAATCATAGGTTTAAATATTTTAATTAAACATTGTCTTAGTTTCATCTCTGCTGCTGTGATAAAGCACCCCGATCAAAGCAACTTAAAGGAGAAAGAATTTATTTGACTTATAGTTCTAAACCAAAGGACTGATATCTCTCTTTCCTTCTCTCCAGGACTCAGCCCATGAATTGGTACTGTTCAAATGCAGAGTGGCTCTTTCCATCTCAATTAACAAAAATATGAAAATCCCTCACTGGGGATTTTCACGCCTACAACCCAACCTAACCCAGACAGTTCCTTACTGAGAGTCCCTTCCTAGTCCATTCTAGATTGTGTTAAATGACAATTAAAATAAACCGTCACATACATATGATTGTTTAATGACAGTAGTCCTTGTTTTAGCATCTGACTAATATATTTATCTACTCTTCAAGAACATTGTTCATTAGTATAACATGTTTATATTGGAAATACTAGAAATAAAATGATGGAAGAAAAAGTGAGTGAAAAAATTAAATTATTTTTCTGATAACATATAAACAAAAGTTACTTCTTAGTATTCCTGTATATATTTTTTTAAATGTGACAACTACTTAAAGTATTTTACTTCTGTGATCAGGAACAACACCTAGAAGTGTGATTATTTAATTTTTAATTTTTTTCTTAATGAGTTTGTAACTATATATGAGGCACAGTGTGGTATTTTTGCTCACGTGTGGCTCACACTGATCAATCAGAATGGTTAGCACTTTGTATACTCACTGTTTCTGAGTATATAGAATCCTTGAGATATCCTAGCTCTTTACAAGATGTAAGAAGTTCTGGCATGCTCTGGCCACCCATAGTTCTGTGCTTTGATATTCACTATCCACTTTCCTATATTCCCCCAAATGCTAGCCACCCTTCTTAGCATCTAGTGATTACTACCATATTCTCTTCTGCTTTGAGACGAAAGAGTTCAGCATTTTATATGTAAAAGAGAACATCTGGTATTTGTGTTTTTGTGTCTGACTCATTTCGCTTAAGAAAACAACTTTAGTTCTATCCATTCTGTTGTAGACAATAGGGTCTCATTATGTTGTGATTTAGTAATATTCTATCCTGTACAAAACGTATTTGCCCATTAATAGATACATAGTGTCTTGGTTAGGTTTCTGTTGCTGTGAAGAGATACCACGACTGTGGCAAATCTTATAAAAGAAAAATTATGGTAGCTTGCTTGCAGTTCAGGGGGTCAGTCCATTTTTGAACTTTTGCAGGGAGTATGGTGGCATGCAGGCAGATGTGGTCTTGCAGGAGTAGCTGAGAGCCACACACTGGGTGGTATCCTAAACATAGGAAACCTAAAGCCCGCCTCCAAATTAACACACTTCCTCCAACAAGGTCATAATAACCCC